GGGGGGTTAAAACCCCCAGCCTGTGTGTCCCGTGGATGAGTTTTTGTCGAGCTGTGGCAAGCCGGCCCCTTGCTGCTGGTCGTCCGACTGCCGCTGTCGCCGCGTCCCATATATTCTCTGCTCGGCTAGGCCCGGGTCAAGGCAGTCTTGGGGGCAAGGCTCTCGTCGCCGCTGTGCCGTGGCGGGGCGCGGTGGGAGGACTCATCTGCGGTCGTCACACCAAGCGGCAGATGGCGGCGGCGGCGGAGGAAGCCTGAACCATCCGCGACCCTTTTATCCGGGTCAACATCGCGGCGCTTCTGTTCTTGTTGTCCACCTCCCCCCCTCTCCTCCCCTCCGCTCCCCGCCGGCCTCACCCCCGCGACCCCTTTGCCGTCGTTGCTCCGCGGGGTGGGGCGTGGCGCGGCCCGCAGGGAATTTGGGGCATGCTTTTATTTTGGGAGTGGCCGTCGGCCGGGCCACGCCGGGCTGGGCCGGGGCGAATTGGGGGAGTTGAGTCAGGCAAGAAGGGGGTCGGTCGTCGGGGGGACGGGGGGCGGGGGCGTGGGTAACGCTGCGGGGGTGGCGTTGCAGGCAGTGCGGGGCATGCGTGTCGCAGCTGCCCGGCCCTGCCTGCGCCGGCCCGCGGCAGAGTTCAAGTGCGTGGCTCTGCGGCCGGCCCCCCCGGGGCCGCGCGGCTCCCACTGCGACCCACTAATTTCTGAGCGACCCGACTAACAACAAGCTCGGCCGTGGCGGCCAGGGGGCCACGGGACTAGCGCGTCGCCATGCACCCAGCGAGCATAGGATAGTCGTGGCCGAGATTGTGAGAGGGGGTTCGGTCGCTCCCTTCTCCTCACACACTGCACTTATGGGATCCTTAGTCTGGGCACTCTTGCTTTATCTCGGACAGTGTTGACGCTGGTGCGGAAGTGTGTGGTGAAGTGTGGTGGGTTTGGGTGGTGGTCTGGCTTGGCTTTGCTCTGACCGGTGCTCTGCTGTGTGAGCGCCACCACACGACGCCTGTGCGGGGCGGACATCCCCTCCGCCCCCACCTATTTCTCCTCCTCCTCATCCTCCTACCCGCTGGTCGTGAACTTGGAGGGCAGCCGGGTCGCGTCGCGGCGTTGCTTCGCTCGGGGGACCGAAATACATAATGGGCATTACGCGTGTGTTGCGGACTGCGGGGGGCGACGTGGCTGTGATTGCGGCGGATGGTCTCCTTACTCCTCCCCTACACCTCTTCTTCCACCTCTTCTTCCGCCTCTTCTTCTTCCACCTCTTCTTCTTCCACCTCTTCTTCCACCCCTCCCTCTTCCACCCCTCCCTCTGCCACCCCTTCCTCTCCCAACTTCTCCTCTCCTACCTCCTCCTCCTCCGGACTTTATTTATTCTTTTCTCGTCCCGTAGCAGAAGGAAGAGGGGGGGAGGGGGCATCACACCACCGCGGCACACTGGCTCGTGGTGGTAATCAAATTGGGAATAGAATCCTAAGTCGCGCGCGTACGCCGCGCCCCGCCACGCCGCCGTTCCCACCGACACGCATTGTCTAACCACGTGCGTCTCATATAGTCGTGAACGGCGCGGCAGGTGCAGCCGCGGGGTGGAGGGAGGAGGGGAGGGGCGGCCCCGCGGTTACACTTGGCTCGGCAGGAGGAGGACGCTCGGGGGAGCAGCGCGAAGACACTACTTGGCACCACCCAGGAAAAAATAGTATACTTAAAACAATAACAAGAAATGTGGGAGAAATGATGAGATTATACGGCGGCAGTGGCGGCAAAAATAGGATCAGCGCGTGCGCTTGGCCGTGGCGGCGGCGCTGGCAGAAGGGCCGCCGTGAGTGCGAGCGCCGAGCTAAGCGCGGATTACATATTGTGATGGTGCCTACGAGCTCGCGGCACTCGGCCCTGCCGCGCCGCGTCTGGCCTAGTGGCCCCACTATGATAGTCTGGCGCGATGCCACGCTCCCGCCGCCGCCGGCCGCGCCGCCCCATCCCCGTGCCGCGGCCGGTCTAAACAGAGCCGTTGTCCCCTGCGCCACGCAGCCGGTTGGGGGCTGCCCGCCGCGGCGGCGTTTGGCGAGACGCTCTGGCGCGGGCGGCGTGGAGCCCTTGGTAGGTGCCCGCGGGGGGCTGGCCCGCTGCTGTTTGCCTGTGGCCCCACCGCCACCCCCGGGGGCGGGGCGGGCGGGGCGGGCGGGGCGGATGGGGCGGATCACGGGGTGAAGCTGCTGGCCTCATGTGCCCGGCTTTATGTACGGTGACGAATAAGGAATCTGTGGCTTGGCGTTGGACTTGACCGCGGGGCGGAGGCGTGGTGGTTGAGCCCGCTTATGCTAAGTGTGCTCTCCAGCTGTGTTGCTCGGGCCCGGCCGGGCAGGGCCGCTCTTTGCGTTGCCGTCGTCCAGTGGCTCCCGGCGGCCTGCCTGCCAGCAGCAGGGTATGTAATGATAGTGCGATTCCCAGGCGTGCTGGACTGGCTCTGCCCAGCCCGGCCCGGCCAGCAGCAGCAACCCGTCGACCTTGTGCGCCGGCTCGCCTCGGGCCCGCCTCGCCTCCTGAGCCTGCTCAGGCTCTTGCTGGCCACTCGCCCTAGCTGCTGCCGCCGCTGCCCGTGGTGCCGCCGCCCTGGCCCTGCCCAGAGCGCCCTGCGTGTCGCGAGTCGCTTCACACACGTGCGCCACAGGGTCAAAGCAGCGGCCGCGCTCGGCCAAGTCAAGTTGGCCCAGCAGTGAGGCTGCCGAGACGCTAGAGACCGCCAAATGAAATGTTTCAGTGCGTGCCAACAGCCATTGTCCCGCCGCCGCGTGCCCCCCTGGGGCCTGCCTGGGCTGGGGCCCACGGCTAGACTGGGCTCTGGCACGGGGAGGATGGGGCCGTCGGGCCCGAGGAGGGAGGCCGTCGTCGTCGTTGTTAAGTTAAGCCCAAAAGCTATAAGGAGGGAGGGGGGTGCCCGACTCGCCCCGCCAGCCGGTCTTGCCTTTTTCAGCGCGGCGCGGCGGAGCAGTGGACTTGTCGAGACGTGTACACCGCCCCTCCCCTGCCCTGCCCTCTCCCGCCCCTCCCCCTCTCCTCGCGCTGATGTCACCAGAGCATCGCGTACGTTCGACGTCGCGGTCGTTACCTGTCTTTGGCCCCGCCGCTGCTGCTGCATGCTGCGCGACTCTTGCACTTGCTGCTGCGGTCGCTTAGTGCAGGGACTGTCTGTGACCACCTCGTGACCGCCGGGTATGCGACTACGTGCAGCATGTGTGTGCCGCCTCTCGCTTGCTGCCCTCCCGGCGCATAGAGAGAGCCTCGCCAGCCCCTGGCTGCCCTGGCTGCAGTCGACAATATAATGCCTGCTGGCAATGCAAGGACACGCAGCGCGCGGTGCGACGCGATACGTACTTACATACCTCTTTCTCCCGACTGCACTTCCACTCCGCGGTTTGTTGCGCGCACCGCGTCGAACTGAGTGTGTGTGCTGCGTGCGTCTCCCTCTGTCATTTCAAGTCATTTTTACTGTCGGGTTTGTTTTTAGCGCGGCAATGTCTGGAAACTCTTTTTTTCCCTCCTCCTGCGCCGCGAGAGCTCGCTCCTCTCGGGCGGGACGGGGTGCGGTGAGGGAGGTACCCCCCAGCTGCACACACTGCACACGCACTCAGGCTGTAATGTCAAGGACAGCGGCTAGCCTGCCCAGCTCGCCATGGCTACGCCTCGCCGCCGGCCTGCCTGCTGTGTTGTGCTGCTGCGGCTGCGGCGTCCCGCCTGCAGCTGCAGATGTGTTCGCCGGGCACCGCAGATGGTTTCTCTATTAAACTTCCCCGCTATGATGATATATGCCCCTTCACCCTTTAAAAGAGGCTGATCGCCACAGTTCTTATGTTTTCAATTCTTATCTTAATTTTTATTTTTTTTGTTTCTTTCTCCAGGTCGGGAGGACTTGTCCCCGCCCAGCAGTCTGAATGGCTACTCCATGGACAGTTCGGACGTCAAGAAGAAGAAGGCCGCTGCCCCGCGACAGCAAGAAGAGTTGTGCCTGGTGTGTGGCGACAGAGCCTCTGGCTACCACTACAATGCCCTTACCTGTGAAGGCTGTAAAGGTGTGTACCAAAGCGTGTCCTAATGTGTGAGGAGTCTCTTGAAAATCCACTTTGACACCCTGCATCCTTTGATTATTCACAGGCTTCTTCAGGAGAAGCATCACCAAAAATGCTGTGTATCAGTGCAAGTATGGAAACGGCTGTGAGATTGATATGTATATGAGACGGAAGTGCCAGGAATGCAGGCTTAAAAAATGTTTGGCTGTGGGCATGAGGCCGGAATGTAAGTATTAGCGCAAAGGTTGTCATTAAGTATGAAATTCTTTCGGTTTGTATGGTTTACAACTTTCCATTCTCTTCTGCCAGGTGTGGTTCCAGAATACCAGTGTGCAGTCAAGCGGAAAGAAAAGAAAGCACAGAAAGACAAAGATAAACCGAATTCTACCACTAACGGATCATCATCATTAGATATAATCAAGGTGGATGAGCAGGGCAAGGTAATACTGATCAACATACTTTTTTTCCTACTTTTGTGTTTTAGTCCTCAATGTTATAACAACTTTGTGCTTTTCAGTTTTGTTTGGCTCAAGTTGATCCTGTTTATGGTTCTGGAAATGGTGGAACCAGCACTGTTGAAACAAAGTTTGCAGCCCCCATAAATGGTATAAAGCCTGTAAGTCCAGAACAAGAAGAACTCATACACCGATTGGTTTACTTCCAAAATGAATTTGAACACCCATCAGATGAGGAATTGAGACGTGTCAATGTAAGTGTGTTTTGTTTTCTCCCCTTTTAGTAACATTCTACTGGAACATATCTAACTCTTCTGACTCTCAATTCTTCTGCTCCTTTGTATAGGTTTCAAGTATAGACATTCAAGATGATGGCACAGTTCGGTTCCATAACATCACAGAAATTACAATTCTCACTGTTCAGCTTATTGTGGAATTTGCAAAGCGACTTCCTGGCTTTGACAAACTTCAAAGAGAAGACCAACTTGCACTCCTGAAGGTAAATTTGACAAGTTTCTTGCCCTATACATACTTGCATCATCTATTAGGTTGAGTTTTTTCTAATAGCATTTTTTGGTTACTTCATAGGCGTGCTCAAGTGAGGTGATGATGCTTCGGATGGCGCGGTGTTATGATGCCGCAACAGATTCTATTGTATTTGCAAACCATGAACCATACAACCGATCAGACTACTTACATGCTGGTTTTGGTGATGTGGTAGAGGATCTCCTGGCATTTTGCCGGCACATGTGTGGACTGAGGGTTGACAATGCAGAGTATGCCCTCCTTACAGCTGTTGTGATATTTTCAGGTCAGTACAATGCTGCAATTCTGCCATTTGTAATTTAGTTAAGACAGCCTTCTCTTTAGCTGTCCTTTAATATTTATTTTTATCATTATATGTATACTGATATTTTTCTTTCTTTTTGTATTACAGATAGGCCATCACTTCATGAAGGATGGAAAGTAGAAAAGATTCAAGATATTTATGTAGAAGCACTGAGAACATATATTGAAAATAGAAGACAGCCCAGGCCGTCTACCATCTTTGCAAAACTTCTTGCAGTCCTCACAGAACTCCGCACCCTGGGTAATCTAAATAGTGAACTGTGCTTCTCTTTGAAGATCAAGAATAAGAAACTACCACCTTTCCTGGCAGAGATCTGGGATGTGCAAACGTAATGGTGTGGCAGTGTTATAGGACTGCAACTTGCAGCCCCAGAATGAACCTAAGTGATACAATCTAATTGCCTCTTACCTCAATTTTGTAGTCTGGGTATGTACATGAACCTGTTTCTTCTTTTTTTATAATACAAATGTTGGGAAGACGACACAAATTGAACATATCAAGACTGACAAATTGAAGGTTTCCAAAGCCTAAAATCTATTAGGTAAGAGCCGAACACTCAAACTTGTGTTCTTCTGTGACTCACATGAACCACTCGACATGTGAGAAGGAGATTTCTGTGGGTTAGTCAGGAAACTCACTCTAGTGAGATATATTTGCCATTGCCTCAAGAAGTTTTTGAAAGTGATTTGTTACCCCCTATCTGATTGTGACACCCTTTAAAGGTTGTGATGAGAATGGTTATGTTTGAAACTTTTTTATTATTATTATCATTATTATTATTATTACTATTATTATTACTACTATAATATTATTATTATTATTATTGGTTATTTGGAGGTGAATTTAGGCTGGAGATTGAACCATCCTCCGATTAACGCCACCAAAATGCAGGCTGTGAAATAAATACATAAACCTACTAATTATAGCATGAACTTTTATGCAAGTAATGTACAAAAGTTTGTGTAGTTAGAATGTTAGCTCATGAAAAATGTTTGAATCATGTGTAAAGAATCTATTATATTGTATAAAGAAGTGTAGGTGGATAGAAAGAGTTTCTATGATTGTAAAGTATGCATACAGCACAGAAGTATGTGTTGATTGTTGAATGGTATTAAATATTTTTGAACAGAAATATAAATATTTATATTAAATGCAATGACAAAACCAAGTATGAGACCGTGATAAAAATTGGTGCCTTTTCTGTAGCTTGACACTGGTGCAGCAAAATTTGATTATTTGGTATGGAAAAAAGATTCAGAGTTGTCGAGAGATATAGTCTGGCCTTTGACTGAGACATGTATGACTTACCACCATGCTCCTGTTTCAGCATGTAACATCATAAAATAACCGTCCGTCTAATTTTTAAGAACACTGAGTTTTACCGAAAGTATCTTGAATGTGTCCAGAAATCTATTTAACAGCAGAAGGATGATGGAATGTAATTTGCTGTTTTCCCCTGGTGGAAATTGTTCTTCTTGGAAACACTGTTGATTGTTAAGGAATTACAGTACATTATATCTCAGTTCTTATTTCATAGTTCATTCTTACCTATTATGTATATGCTATGGTTCTCATCTATTCACTGACATAAGTACTCATTAGCATATAAATGTCAAACTTCAGGAATGCAGACAGCACTTTTTCTATGAAAAATTGCTGTCCGTACAAAGATTTTGCATAATGTCTTTTATACTGTCTTGTGTATCTGTTGTTGAAGCAAAATATTCTATTTCTGATAACTTCAGAAATAGTCTCTTGCCGTATCCCTTTTTGTTCATTTGTTAGAAATTCTGTTAATAAAGATTTTTTTGTTTACAATTTTGGTAAAAAAAGTAATCTTCTAGTAACTTTATTTTACCTGCCTGAATGCAGATGTCCTATTTGCTGTTACCTGGAGTTTGAAGTTTGTGAACTGCCATCATTATCATGCTTTTGAACACTTATGGACTGGTAATGCTAAAGCAATGTCAGATGACACCACAAAAGGCTCACACTTATCACCTCTAACGTGCGTCAAATGTTGAAATTCCTTAATTTGAATACATTACTCTTCTGAATCAGTTTTGTATACCATTAAAAACGAAAAGTAGAGTTTTAATGCTGTTTTTGATATAAAATTTATGCCTCCCGAGTATTTTATTGGTTTCCAGAGGTTTTATTTATCAAAAACTATCCAAATTGTTTTATTTGGTAATTATTACTGATGGGGACTGAATGTGTTCTTCTACTCAACTGCCTAAATTTTCATCAAATTTTTATAGTTATGTGGTGTCCCCTCAGAAAAATGGAATTTAACATTTAAACTTGAGGTACTTGCCAGTTGTGGAAAGCATTTTTATACCTTAAGATTTTGTTCACAAATGAAATCGAGTTTTGTTATGTCTAAATTGTGGGTGCCGTATCCACTTTTGAAAAGTAATAAGGAAAAGTTCACTGCCGTTTTGAAAAAGTTGGACATATGACACTGTGTTTTGCATTTAAATATGAATCTTCTAATATGCCTTTTATATCATCACTTTGTAATCTAAAGCTTGGTTGTTCATAGGTTTTAAAGAGTTTCCAGTGTTTAGTTTTTCAAAATAGTGACAAATTTTTGAAATTTATTACAATGGCTGCAATGATCTATCTGGGACTGATCATCTTCATTCATAGCTTGTTTATTTCAAACAGTTTTGTCCCAGAAGTACTTTCCATGTAGATGATTTCTTTACTAAAATTATGGCTGACATTGGGAACCCTCTTTCACAAAGCAGATACTACACCACTGCCATGTAACGTTTCATGTTTTATCCAGTTCCCTTCCTTTTAGTAGACTGCTGATGTAATGTGTTCAGTCTGTAGATCCTCATGCATCTTTTGCGCCTCTCTTACCTAGCACTGCTTATAAGTAACTCTTTCTGTGTTAATATTCTCAATACTCTTTTAACGCAGTTAATATCTCTGTACTTCTTTTGTAAGAAAAACAAAAACATGGGAAAAAAAATGGGGGAAAAAAACGGACACTGAAAAACAATTTTTACTGATATGGTAAATTAAAGGTCAGAATTTACTTGTAGTATACCATTCTTCGAATATGTGATAATACTGAAATTTTAGGTAGTATACCATGTTTAGTGGACATTTTAGATTAAAGGAGTTTCCTCAACTAAATGAGTCACATCTTTTATAAGCTCGCCTTTTGGAATATTAAAGTTTTCTGTTCCCTGAATTTCTGATTCATCGGAATACAGTAGCAACTCTCAATAGTAATTGTAAACAAAATTTTTTACATCTTTTTTGTCTTAAAGACATGGCTATAAGAAAGGAGGACATGAACTACTCATGAACTACTGATGGGAACTGATCATTTGAATGTGATGTAAAAGAAGCCATCACACTTTAACACTGACTGATTGAAGGAAAAGGAGTGGTTATATGATTATATGAATGCTGCTATACACTCCAGCACTGCCAAGATTTTAACAATATTAATATGAAAATGTTTTTGCTACCTCTTTGAATGGTTCTTTGTTGGATTCACTGCCTTTTATTCTGCGTGGAATGATGATCAAGATAATTTTCGAGTTACTTTGAAGTATCAACTGGCTTACTTTACCACTGTCATTTATGTAGTGTATATCACTTCCTAATGGTTGAGCTGCTGTTTCTCTTGCTCATAATCATTATGTTCATGATTTCATAAGGGGCTATGCCAGGTCATATTCCCTTCCATTTGGAAACTGCCATTCAGTTTTTCTCACATGTATCTTAATTAATGATAATTGTTACCTCAGTTCTCATCTGTCGTTGAAAAGGTAGCGAAAATTTACTGCACCTACTTAGCTAGTTGGTTTTGACTCCAGACATGAGGACAGGTATCTCATTCTACTGTACTGTGAACTAAGCATCATTTGAATCTTGTGAATGTTTTAATGTTGACGTGTTTAAAAATATTAGGATCCATAACAGCCAGCAGAATAGAATAAGTATGCATATAATGTGCCTTCATTAATTGAAGCATTATCTATCTGCTTCAGTTAACGCCTGCATGTTTGCTAAAGTTAGTTATCAGTTAAATAACGTTATGTGTGAAGGAAATTGAAGACTTGCTTTGTTCAACCCGACAGCCAATTTAATGGAGACTAAGCTGGAAAATCTAACTAGCCAGAACTGACAGAGTTAATTGTTGTCTGGTGTTTTGAAAGTCTGTTAATGTGTAAGGATTAGAACAGGGACAGAACTAGCTCCCTAAGCTCCAAAGTCAAATCCAACCAGTGCTTGCTGTTTGATAGGTTTTCATGAGAGGTATTGTCAAAACTCGTTATTTGAATTTTTATTTCTTCTCTGTGTGTGTTTTTGGTAATTAGGATTGCATTCGGTACTTTCCCTGAAATGGCTTCTACCTTGTAACTTAACATTAATATTAAAAATGTTTACTGTTGTTGAAAGCTGTAAAATAGAGAATGCTGTTTGATAAAAATGTGTGTGATGCTTCTTAGCATACATATTTAGAGCAATGACCAAGAGCTGAAAGTGATCATGCATCCTCCAAAAATTTGGCATTGTGGAACATTCCCTTGTTCCAAAGGGATCGAACAAAAACTAATTTGGATCTGGAAGTCCTTGAATTAAAACATGCTCAACATCCGGCACAGGTAGAAGTGATTCATGAACCAAATGGCAAAAGTATGTGATTAGCAAGTATTTGAAAATGTTCTTTCGTCTCCATATTCCTTCTTATTTAACTTTAGAACAAATTTATTTATTTCTAATGTTGAAGCAGCATCGTGATACATAGTCTAAAAATTTTAAATCAGAAATACATTTGATTTCTGAGTGCGTATTTGATTTTCTCTTGAAAAAATGATTGACCTAACCATCTGAATTGAAAAGCAATTGTGAGACTTAACTTCTAGCTTTGTGACAGAGAGACTCTATTCTACATTTTCTCATAGCAGCCATAGCTTTTCTCAGGCAACTCTAAGAGTCCTTTTTCAGTAAATACTAATAACAATCTATAATTTAACTTCTTCACAGTTTATTGCCTTTGTTCCCCTTGGTTTTGTAAATAAACATATATCTCAACTCCTTGTAGTTCAGCTGATATGTCGGTGTCCTTTGTTCAAATGAATCGGTTTCTGTTATTTTTAAACTAGTGTACATGAGTGATATGTAAATCTTCACTTTTTTTTTCCTCTTGTAGCATAATGTAGAAATGTGCAATATATGCCATGCATGCCGTGCATAAAATGATCAAACAGGGGGGAAGGGCTTTGATGTTCCAATGCTGAAGGGCTGTGCAGAGAGACATTGTGAAGGATGCTGAGTAGTTTGCAAGTACATTTGGCATGTACTTTGCACACTTACAAACAGAATGCAGTATTATTAGTCTAAGTAACCCTAACATTTCAGGTGAATATTTGGTGAGAACATTTAAAAATTGCTTATAGGTGTAAAACACTATGACTCGGACATTTCAAGTCGGATGTTATGTTATGAAAGGATGCATGATGATAGGTTATGGGTGTGATGTCCCTAAGGGCACCATTGTTTATATTGTACAGAACGATTGTAAAATGTGAAGATACATGATGTATTGTAAGAACTGCTCTTTGTGTACTGAATGGATAGCTAGCTACGCAATATGTCGGTAGGTAGATATTTGAAAGAGATGAGGGATATTCAGTGAGCTATATTTAAAAAGCCTAAGGGGAATTCTAAAGTTACTGTTGAACATTCATTGTGAGTAGAACCGTAGAATTTGTGCATGATGAATACTTGTACTGTATATATAGAATATTTTACCTTTCCCCTTAGTAGCTTTTTTATAAAGTTCATCAGCAAATTTTATGGCAAGAATGATGTATAGATATAAATTTTTTCTATTTTGTGCAGTAAATTGACACTACAAACTATGATTTTGTGCTTTTATATTTAACAGAGCTAATTTAATCCTACTCAACCACATCAATCACAGACAATACATGCAAAGAACACCCAAATGTATTGATGCCATCTGTAAATGTTAACTACATACAGGTTTTAAATGCTAACAGCATGTCAAAAACTTAATCCAAAGACACAAATATACAAGAACTGGCGTAAATTTATATCATAACTTAGACATGATCTACAATCAAGTCAGATGCAGCATTGAGCTGGTAGACGTCAATATTTTATTAGTTTTTGTTCCAAACCTATTGTTGGATTTGTGGAAAAATGATTTGGCTCGGCCAAGAACATTATTTTTACGTTCACTCCAGGATAGCTTCTTAGAAGAAGCTGACTGAAACAAAAGAAATAACACATTTATTTATAGGTACCTACTTATTCCACACCAGTTTCAATGAAGTAGCATAAAATTAATTACCTTCTCAACCCCTAACATTCTGCCCAACTCTGCCATCCTCTCAGTTTGTTCCGCTCTCCGTAGCGCCTCATTGCACTCAAAAACAATCTGCAAAGTAGTGATTGTACATAGTGAGTTTAACTTGCACTATCAAAACCGCTTACGTATGTGACGGTCGGGACTAACGCCAACAACGCACCTGGTTGAGACGGTCAAGAGCGGCCCTGCAGATGACAGCCTCCGACGTGCGTTGGTCCAGGCGTCGCAGGATAGCCGCCAGCAGGAGAGGGAGTCTGGAGGCTCGTTGAGCAGGCAGGGACAGCAGAGGCACCATCTGCCTCGCCTCCATGCTCCTAGAGATCAATATTGCTCAACATTATGCATCTATTACATGAACCCCACGTTCCCTGTCTCCCTGCATGTCTCACCCAATCTTGCCGAGGACGCTGGCGGCCCGCGGCTGCAGACTGACCATGAGGACGTACTGCTGCAGGGACGCCCCGGGCATGGACTCCTTGTGCATGAGCGTGCACAGGCCGCGCATCATCACGTCCAGCGACCAGAGCGCGCGCAGGGCGCTGACGAAGCGCATCGAGCACGCGCGGGCCGTGTCCAGGAACTTGCTGACGGCGTCCCTATCCTGGTCACTGATGACGCTGGGATCCTGCAGGGCCTCGATGGCCTGCATGCGGTGCGCCAGCACGTCCAGGGAGCGCAGGTACGACTCCTCGGAGCTCAGCACCTCGAACTTGGCCTCCTGTAGCGCGCTCTCCGCTGTGTTTAGTCGGTCTGTGGAGATGAAAATAGTTTGTGAAACGTTTGACGTTTGGTTCGAGCACGCTTACCGACGAAAGTGCACTCACCCAGCAGGCCACTTCGCTGCACCTCCTGAGTCTCGCACCACAGGGCGCGCCTGCCTCCGCCGTTGGGGGTTGCTGGCGTGACGGGGATGTCGAGCACGCCGAGGTCTTCCCTCGCCGACGGCGCCCGTCCCTCGAACCGCCCCGAATCCTCGTCAAACGTGTCGTCGTCCCTCCGCTCCTCCTGGACAGCATTCTTCTCCTTCACCTGGGCAACGATGATACAGCGTGATACAAAAACACTTTCCAGACTAAAGCGGCGAAGTACAAACGATTCAATATGCACCGCCCAAAACGGCACGCACCCAATACAATATGCTGGCAACTACTTTAAATCGCATCTTTATGGCTCGACTACTTGACCCGCTTCCACCACCGAACTGACAATGCCCTGCCTGGAAGCCCGGCCCCGGCCCCGGCCCGGCCCGGCTGGCCCGATAGTCTTCAGCGAGCGTTGCGATCGCTTCGTTTGTTCATTGATAAAAAGCCGGGCCGGTCGAGTTCGGTGTGGCGGCGGATATGATGTGCAGTGCTCCCGTGAGAGGCACCACGCGTGCTCCGCCTCCGCCCCAACCAACCCCCTCCTCCCGGGCAAATGCAACGACCTTCCCAGAAAACGTTAGCAATGAGGGCAAGCGTGAGGCCGCTTACTTCCTTCCTCCCTTCATCCCCCCCTCCCCGCTCTCACGGACGAGAAACGACGAAAAAGGAATGCGCTGGCCGGGAATCGAACCCGGAACAACTGCTTGGAAGGCAACTATGCTAACCATTACACCACCAGCGCTTCTTGAAAGCATGGGCGACATGGAGGGGATAAGAGTCCGCTGCGCGCGATCTGCCGCAGCTGGCTCGCCGCCCCGGTGAGGAGGGGGGAGCGGCAGCAGTGACCCGATCGCTGCCCGCCCCGAACCAGCGCCCGCGTCGCCGCAGCAGAGGCACGTAGAGAAAGGTGATAGTCAAGTTTCCGCACCTCATGGGCTTCCCTCCTGAGCGGAGGGACGTCGGGCTTGACGAACACCTCGTCGTCATCGTCGTCCTGCTCCATGTTGTCGCCGGCCAGGTCGCAGTCGGCCGCCGAACAGATGAGACGCCTGCGCCGTAGCAGCGCGGGGTCCTGCCATCCGCGTCGCACGGCGTTTCTCGGGCTGTACATGACGTTCGCGGCCAAGGTGCCGCCCACGCTCCGCGCCATGCGCTGCACCGGGACGCCGACCGGCGTCTGGGGCTTGGTGGGCGCCGGCGACGTCACGTCCATCTCCACCACCTCGGGCGACTCGCTCGGGTTGGGCGACACGGTGGTCAGGACCGTCATCTCGAGGGCCTCGGCGTCAGCGGCGTCGGCGGCGTTCTCGAGGGAGTCGTCCAGCCTCTGGTCGGGCAGCAGGGCCTGCCCCTCGGTCCGCGCCCTCTTACGTGCGCGTCGCACCGAAGTGCGAACCACGTCTCTCTGCAGTCGCGACGCAAGCCGCCGGACACTGCGAAAAAATTAAAATAGATAAAGTTGCGCTGAAAGTGTCGACATCACTCGCGGGTTTCGCGCGACTCACCCGGGGCTTCCCATGAAGGGCACGCAGTTCGACAGAGACGTGCTGGAGCCCCGCGATGACGTCCGCTCCATGTGTGCGTCGACCTCGTCGGGCGCGTTGCGCGCGTCACGCTCGCCCCCGGCGGTCGGCGTGCTGCCGGCCACGGCCTGGTCCAGGGGTCGCTTGCTCAGTTCGGCTAAGCATCGTTGCAGGGTCTGTTAGAGAGACAGGAAGATTAAAACAACAGAGACAGCGGTATGGCGGAATGATGGGACAGGTGGTAGTCCCGGTAGCCCACGGCCCCGCCAAAGTTTATCGACTTTCATTTTCATGTATTATTTTGCGGAGCCCATTTCGCATTTCGCCGCCGTGAGGCGGACACCAGACCAAACGGAAGGTGCACGTCAAACAGCGAACTCACCGCGTCCATGGCCGCGAGCGCGGCCCGCTGACGGCACTCCTCCTCCGGGACGTCGATGAGCGGGCAGAGGCTGAAGAGCGTGTCCCGCAACGCGGACATGCAGCGCAGCGGGCTGAACGGCAGGGAGTCGTCCGGCCGGGTCTCTTGGCCGTCGCGGAGCCTGGTGCAGAAGGAGCAGGTAACGCGCAAGTATAAGTACAACCTCATATTACTAACAGCTTACTACTATCGAAGAGCGAATAAGTGTGATACCAACATAGCCTGGAGGTCCCTGAGCAGGCTGCAGTAGGTGACGAAAGCGTCCCCCGCCTCGCGCAGGATGAGCACCGCGTCGTAGATGGCCAGCGGGTCGGCGTTCTCGCCGCCGTCCAGCACGTCCGCGCAAGCGTAGGCGCGCCCGCACGCCCGCCAGACTGCAGACAGGGTGGGGGTGAGTGAGGTGGCCGTCGATGCATTGAGAAGCGCGCAGGACACGCCACAAAATTAAAATAACAATCTCACTCTTGTCCACAGCGTCCGCGATGGCGCGACGCAGGAAGCGCGGCAGGTTGAGGTCGGCGCCGGGCTCCCTGTCGTCCTGGTCGTGGCGCTGGTTGCGCGTCACGGCGCGCCGCGTCCTGGTGCGCAGCTCGCCGACCTGCACCAGGAACAGCGACAGCCCCTGCACGAGGAGGCGCCGCCCCTCGGCCAGCCCCGAGGCCTGGCCGGCGCGTCCTGCAAGGTAACCAGGAGGTGAGAGTGTCGCCTAGTCGACGCCGCGGTCCGCGACGCGGTCGGGCCTCCGCTCCACGCACCTGCGCCCGGGGCCGCGGCCGCGGGAAGCACCGCCATGAACGCCATCTGTCGGCGAGCGTGCCACAGCTGGGCCGCCTCCAACATGGCCGACGTCCACCGGCGATACTCCTCGCCCGTCGCCGTCCTTATGCTGAAGCGCTGGCTCCGGGGTCCCGTCCCCAGCGAAACGTGCAGGATGAGGGCCTCCGTCGTGGGCGTGGAGGTCGGCGTCGACGACTGAGGGAAATGCACCTCCGCGTCGTGCAGCGGGAGCACGTGCTCGGCGGCACGGCCATCCTGGCTGTCCCTGTAGTAGATGCAAAAGTCTCCTTTACTCGAAAATACAAAATTACACGACTTGCTTCTGTTTATCGCCGTTCATATTTCCTCACAAGTTCGACCCACCCGGCAACCGGACTCCCGGCAGCCGAGCCAGCAGAAAAAAAAATCCTTCGAGCCGGATTTGAACCAGCGACCTATGGATGTCTACGTCTTTCGTTCCTCTACAGTCCACCGCTCTACCAACTGAGCTATCGAAGGAGATGAGAGGGGGGAAGCTCCGCGCCGGTCTGGTTCCACGGCGCGCGCCGCGCAGAGTAGGGGTGGGGATGACTGGCGCGGCTCGCCAGGGCGCGGCCGAGGGGCTCGGCGGAGCAGCGCAGCGCGCGCTGTTTGAAACGGGATTCACTACAGGGAAAATGGAAAATGGGGAGAAATAAAGAAGGCACTAAATAGTGACTTGGGGAACCCAGAGCTAATTATTCCGCGAAATCGTTCAAAGTCAAATACTCCAAGCCAAAAAAGTCTATGCCCAGTTAGTCAAAAAAGAAAAATCAGAGAAACATAAAAAATGCAACCACCCGCCTTGGGGGCGGGGCGGGAGACCTTACCATCTGGCAGAGGCAGTCTTTGCGGGGACTGTCTAAAAAATGTAACCCCCGCAAGCGTGGAAGCCATGGCATTGAAGACAATCTGATGCATCGCGGTACGCGTGGCGTGGCGCGGCTACCCGTACCGAAATGCTGACGTCCCCACCCACCCAGATCGTGACAGTTTTGCAACGAGGTTTCGCAAGGCCGGCTATAGAGACGCCCTGTCAACGCCCTGGCCCTGCCCTGCGGCACGGGGTGGACTGGACTGCGCGCGCGCGCCCCCGCGCGAACGGCGAAAGACATGACTGCAGACACGGAATCGAATGGGTAGAAAGGGCATCAACGGGTACCAGTGATCTTTCCTTCCCCGTTTGCGTTTCGGAATGTTTGCAAGTGACGTATCCCCTTTCACCGCTTCGCCCAGGCCATCCTGGCCCACCCGTCCGTGACGGGCCGCGCTCAGTCAGCGAAGGGCTCGGGTTGCCCCACCGCGAAAATGATAAGAAGTGGAGCAAGTGCGAGGCGAGAGACGCTCGGCTCCGAGAACGCTTGTTCAACCTCAGCCCTCGTTAGAGGGAAGGAGATGGGTAGAATCGGAGCTGTTTCGCCAACGTCATCTTTATATCCTGCAGGTGGCTGTGCAGACGTGTCAACGCGTCACGCGCCTGTACTCGCCAGAATTAGGTGCAGACCAACCGAGCCAGGAAAGAGCTGCAAGTACATATGTCTTTTGGATTTGCAGAAGAAGCAGCGAAGTACCGACCGCCGACCGTGCCTCGGGGTAACCGAGGGGACGAATGAGAGGAAATGAAATACGGGGGCGGCCGGGGGAGCAGAAGCGGGCGGGGGCGAATCGAGGGAAGGGGTGAGACGCAATCTCCCTCGGGCCAAATCCACCGCCCCCTCCAAACATCTTCTCGCCTGAAAACTATCCGATAAAATACGAAGATGGCGACGGAGAGGTCCGCCGACGACACGAGAGCTCGGGGGGACTCACACTTTGGCCCAGCCAGCAGGTGCGGATCCAGGACGAGCTTCAGGGAAGGGCCAATATTGTGTAACGGGAGGAAGAAGAATGGCGGGTTCGAAGGCTCCACCAATCAGGAACCCACCCGGTTTTGTTATTGTTCTTCCACTGTTAGTAGATCAGAAGTATCTAGAACAGTCGATTGCCTGCCGATGACAACGTTTGTCCAATTTTCTTACCGTTTGGGCGATCCGGGTTGCGGGCTGGCCACTACCACCTCTTGGAAAATGAACTACGAATTCGAATTGCCCAAAACACTCACATTTCTCGTATTGACTTTATGGCAAATTTTCCCTTACGGGTAGGGGAGAAGTAAAGGGGGGTGTGTGTACTACAACACGCCCGTGATCGCAACAGGCGCGGGCGCGGCCCTCATACGTTGCACCCTGCACCCCCTGCGCGGGGTGAATGCGTTTCCTCATTGTCGGTGTCATTTCCGCTGGGAGCAGAACGGTTTTGGGAGCCAATAAGGAGGGAAAGAGAATGAATCAAGTTGGAGGGGCGGCACAAGAGGGGGG